GATCTTGGTGCAGTGGCTGAGTCTGGGCCTAGCCTTTCCAGTTCGAAGGAAAGGAAGGGGTGATCTGGGGCAGGGACACTGGCTGCATTTGGGCTGCGTCTCCCGAGGCTGGAAGGGAAAGTTCTCCTCTGGCTAGCAGGTCCCCACCTTGGCTAGATTACTTGAGCTCCTGCAGAGCCTAGCTGGGCAAGCTGCACAGCCACACATCTTACACAGATCTTAGTCCACAATAGGGATTACTCAAATGAATGTGTAACTGCTGAAATTTCTAGTGGTTACATAGCAGGGGATGGGGCAGGTGGCTTTTCTGCAGCTGGTGTACATGGGGAGTTGGCGAGCTTCACCTGTTCCCTCTCCACTCTGCTGCTGCCTCTGATACAGAAGCAGCAGCGAAGGTGAGGAGAGAGGGTTGCATGTAACCATGCACAGTAACCAATGAGCCCATGCTCATTGGTTAACAATGTACACAGTTACACTTTCACACCCCTAGTGCACAACCCCTTTTTGGGTCATGAAGGAACTCAACTATTCCAGCACTGTAAAATTTAAGTACATTACATCATGAAGTTCATGCTTTTTAAAATCCCATGACAATAAAATTGACCATGAATCTGAAACTGTCCTATCCATAACCAAACTGTAATGCAATTGATTGCATATGCAGTCTGCATCCACGAACAAGTAACTTGCAATTGTAGCTATCATTAGATGGCAGCCAACTTCTACCAACTCTTGACAGAAAGGGCTGGTTAACCATGTGTGGCAGCATGGGATAGTAGGAATTTAGACTGTCCCACAACATACTGATCCGAACACAACTGTGCAGCGTAACAGGCATAGCAAGATTTTATAGGGGACAGATCTTTGGGATGGGAAGAATAGCAATCAGTGCCAAGTACATCACAACAGAGGGTGAACACCCGGCTCCACTTAAGGCAGCCCACTCTGCAGGAGCCGAGGAGAGGATTTGCGATCCCCGGCCAACATGACAGCAAAGGACCAAGGAAGTGTTCAGAGCCCGGCGCTCACCTCCCAGACATGGCGTCGTCCTGAAGTCCTGCTCCCAGCAGGCCTGAGAGAGAAGCACGAAGATTTCAGCCACCGCACTAGGGAGCCGGGCACCCCACGGCCGCAGCAGGCCCTGCCCCCCCTCCGCAGCGCCCGGCACGTC